GGTACGGACTATCCCAGCAGCAACCAGTCATCCAACACACCCACACTGCTACTCAATCCCAAGTCCCACGACGAGGGGATTCACCGGGAGAGAGAGAGAGCCGCTGCCGCCGTTTCATTCGACCGCTCAGATACCCCGCCCGGCCCCAGCCCCGCCCTGTCTTCGTCACGGCGTGTGTTACCTAATCCCGTGTTGTGTTTTGCCTGCTCCACCCCGCACTGGGGCCCCTCCCCCACGGCCCCCCTCAGGTGCCCCCCAGAACCACTGGTTCGGCCCAGCGGGTGACCCCCGCGGTGCGGGTATCGGTACTCCGGAGGCCATACGCCTGGTGTGGTCCTGCCACCGGGAGATCATCACGGACTTCGGCCCCGTGCCGCCACACACCACACCGCTGGTGCAGTCGTGAGGGGGTGTGTGAAGGGGGAGGTGTGAGGGGCTGGTAGCGTGTGTGTAGCGGTGCGAGGTTTGCAGCGGTTCAGCCGCCGGCGACTTCTCCGTCCCGCCCACCAGTCCCCGAGGATCAGGTGTACGGGTGACGTGTTGGGCCCCTTGGCGGATGAGGATGGAGCTCCCTGGAGTGCTTGCTCCGAGGGGTGTGTATATAGGTTAAGTGGTATGGGCCGATGGGCGGATGATGATTTTGATTCGCAGGGGCCACCGAAGGTTGCGTTGCGTTGCGTGTGGAGAGCGGGATGTCGCATCCGTACGATACCGCGGCGGTGGATTTGGGCGGTGGATTTGGGCGGTGGATTTGGGCGGTGGATGTGGCTGCACCGCGCGGTACGCAGGTGCTAGGTTGAGGCCGGGCGTGGGGGATAGGGCGGTAGCGGGATGCCGGGCAGGGGGGATGTGGCTGGCTGTGACCTGCCGCTGCGTGTGCGACAGATTACGGTTCCGGTGCGGGGCGGGGTGCTGTGGACCGTTCCAGTTCACCTAGGGGTAGGAACGGAGAGGCGGAGGGCTGTCCGCCGCAGCGTCTTGCGGTCTGTGCGTGTCGTCCGTGACTGTACCCCCCTGCTCCTCCTCCCGGACCGGCTGATAGGCAGACAGACAGACGTGCACACCAACCCGCGCGTCTGGATTGCCCAGGGCACTTTGGCGGTGTGCTACCATGAGGCAATGGCCAACAACCGCAGTACGTCTGCAGCTTTGCGTCTTGCATGTGTATGGCTAAGCGTGCAACTCGGGGAGGGGGGGGGAGGAGGGAAGGGGGAGCATTCTTGAATTGCTTGTCAATTCCATGTATACTTCTTTAGATTGCAAAAATATATCATATTGGTAATTTTTAGTCGTATGTAGCCCTGAATCGTGTCGTTGCTGTTGGGGGGATTTCCCTATTGAGATCCCCTGCCTCGTTTGCATGTATGTGCGTATGTATGTGTGTACACACGTGTGTCTGAGTGAGAGGGAAGAAGAGAGACGGTTGCACCTGCACACGGGAGAGAGAGAGAGAGAGAGAGGCGCACTGGTCGCGTTGCGGTCTTTTGCTCGGGAGGCGTGAGGTGTTGGGGGCTCCAGTGCGGCGCAGGAAGGGGGCCATGAATCATAGCTGGGGTCCTGCACAAGGATGGCAAACAAAGATACTGATGCTGATGTACGGCAGCGCTTTCTTAATCTTAGCCAAGTTAAGACATAGGATAGGTAGCGGTAGGGAACTCTCCCATTAGCGGTATCAGCGTGCTGGAGTGCGTCAAGTGCGTCTTCCGGTTCTTAAGCCGGATAGGTGCTGCGTTGTGTTCACAAGCGGGGCGATGTGTGGACGGGAGGGTTTCGTTCTCCGCAGAGGGGTTTTCTTTCGTCGCCCGGGGGCCGGCGAGAGGAGAGCTATCGCGGTGTCCGATATGATGCGGCGCTTTGTAAGGCGCGACTCCCTTGTGCATCTCCAAGTCGAGTAGGCTGTGAGGTTGCGGAGCACCGCCTGTTCGCTTGG